CTTCCCGGCAGCGCGGGGGAGGCGGGGACAGCAGCCGGGAAAGGGGACAGGCTTGGGAAGGAGCGGCGTCGGGAAAGGAAAACTCCTCCCGAGCGCGCTTTACGGCCGGGCGGCGGGGCACGTCAACAGCGATGGCGGAAGGGGAAGAGGCGCCGCCGCCGAGCTGCTGGTGAGTTACGGGGGTGTCGGTGCCTCCCTCCCGCTGCCCGCCCTCCCTCCCTCCGCGGCGGGGCCGAGGGGCAGGAGGGGAGAGCGGCTGAAATCCTGCCCGCCCGCCGCCGCTTCCTCCCCGAGACCCGCCGCTCTCGGTGTGTGAGGGGGTCGCGGTGGGAGCCCCAGCAAACGCCCCGGGCGGCTCCGGGGTCCCGAGAGGGGAAGGGCCCCGTCCAGGCACGGGAAAGACACCAGACAAGGGCCTTGGGCCGTGCCCAGCCCGGGGCGAAGCGGTCGCTCCGGTTTAAAATGACAGCTTTAATATGCGGTAGGAGCTGCTCCAGGAGTCTGCCTGGAGTGGAGTTGCTTTGTTCAGTTCAGCTTCCCCTTTCGCTGCGTGTCTGCTCTCAGGCACAGGTGACAACCGTAGGTCCCTGCCTTGTTTTCTGAATGATTCTGCTCGCCAGCCTCCTTTAGTGCAGCTATTACTTATAATGGATTTTACGTTGAACCTCTAGGACAAGAATAGAGACTATTTCTGGAGCGTGTATAGGATCATTTTGATGGTAACAGTGTTGTGATTTCAGTATTTGTTGCATGCGTGTTCACTTGAGATTGCTGAGGCTTAAACAAACATTGTGTTTAAACACTGAAGCTATTCTTACTGCACCCAGCATCTCCATTCATGGCATCTTCACTTTGTTTTTGTCTTTGCGCTTCTGCATTGCATGTGATTTCTCTCTGTGGCTCTGTGCCACACCATTGCTCTTTGTCCTTTCCACGTACACACTTCTCAAACAATTACTTTACAGACCTGCTTTTTGTGATCACTTCAAATCTGATGTTTTCGCTTTTAGGTTTTATTTGATGTGGCGGATTGAAAGTGTCTTGCAAACTATGCTTAGTCTTCTTTGTGCTTAGTTATCTCACTGTAAAGGAGCCAAAAGACACATGCAGGTGTAGCTGGAATCTGTTCTTTGTCTAGATTGGTTCTACAAGTACAGCTCTTGGATAAAACAACTTACTATCATTTACTAGAAATTGAAAATCAATTAGAGTAGATTTTTAGCCTTGTTTTTTTCTTTTGCTTTTAGTCATAGATTCAGACTTAATGAAGCTCTCTCTATAAAGTTCAGTGTTGCATAAGCATTATTTCTAAGTACAGACTTGACTGCTTAGACACATAATTACAAAGCTGATGATGAACTCATTGACAGTGCAGTCTTGACACTTTGAAATATAACCCTGGACATGGAATAAAACCCATGTTGAAACATCTCTGAAAAAAATACTTCAAACCTCTTTCATTACTAATGTTGAAAGAATATTGCTGTTTCCCAGATCACAATAATGAGGATGAGGACGTGTGTGATCTCCAGACATATTTCAAGGCACAGCCTACATCGTTGATATTCTCATTGCCAGCCTCAAATCTGTAGCAAATTTGATATGCTGGTACTACTAGAAAAGGCAAACTTGAAGGCATTTATTAGAAGAGATTTTTTAAGTGTTTATGGGAACAATTCAAGAGGTTTATGCTTAAAAACTATGTTAATGAGAGAATACATCTTCTTACAGTTGTATTCCTCATTTAGAAACTTCACATGGCTTTTTGGTTTCATTGTGTTTTGTTTATTTCCAGTTTCAGTGAAATATTTTCTTTTTCATTTATTGATTTAAACTGTTGTCTTGCATTCATATCTCAGTGCTGTGAACAGTTGCTGTTTTTCTAAGTAGAATGTGTGTCTTTTGGAAGAGCTATTTGATATAAATTATTACATCATTGTATTTTGAAGTATATAGGATTTCAAGTTTAAAAAAGTCAAAACCAAAATGATACTTTTGTATGTTTGAGCTCTGTTGGGAGCAACATTGGCAGTGCTGATTCCATATTCTCTATTCACTTCCTTACGAGTGATTAAAAGGCAAACGTAAAGAGACTGTCACAGCACCTATAGTGTGTAGAATCCAGATGTGCTTACTATCACAAAATACCCTTTTCGTTTTTCCTGTGTTAAGTTGACATGCAGTGCTGTTATAAGTGATTTGGAAGGCGGAGGCAGGGAAAAATGTAAGAAACTAATTATGATGTAAACCCCTCAAAGTCTGGCCTGAGTACTTGGTGTTTTGTTCAACAAAAACAAGGACAATTTGCCACTGTACAATACAATTAAAAAAAAACTGAACAACATCACCATCACCACAGACTTTGAAATTTGAATGAAATTTGTCAGGTTTTATTTCAATATATACATGAAGCTTATCAACAGTTTTGATTTTAAAAATGAGCAAACCCAACTTTTTTCCAGGTGATTAATACTCAAGCTTTAGGGAGCTTGATGAAGTAGTAATTTCTATTTTCAGATCTATACTTTGAGAGATAAGACCTGAACTAACTAAATATAACTGTAACCACAGATGGAATTGTCCCTGTGCATTTAACTTTGCATTGGAATAATCCATTTTACAGGTCCCAAAATACACTCCAACTGCTTAAGACAACAGGATGACAAATCTGGTTCACATATACCTTTTCCATGCTCAGAATCTGGCTAATTAGTGCTTGAAGCCATGATATTTCTTCTGAAAGCACACAAACAAAAAAATTCCTTTCCAGTCAAGCAGGAAACTAACATACTTAAGGAAAAAAAAAATAGAAGTAAAAATGTCAGGGAAATGTTTTTCTCCGAAATTCCATTGGGGAAAAAAAGAAGATTCAAGGGTGTTCTGAATACAATGGATATTTTGAAGAAATTGGAAGGAATTGATTTTTGTTTGCTTGCTTTCAATAGAGAACAAGCAATCATTAATTTCCATGTAATACAGCTTTTGCTGAAGTTTTTTCCCACTAGTCAGGAAAATCGTAAATTAAAAGTAGGAACCAGAGTAAACAGATTTAAAGAAGCGTAAAACTGATTGTAGCATTCTCAATACTATATGTGCTTTATTGGTCACTTCCTATTATCGTTTCCCTGCTGTTCACATCCCCACATTTTTAATCCCTCTGTTGGTATTTGTAAATGTTGCCAAGTACCTCAGTCAAAATATAAATAGTACCTTAAAAAAACCCCAAGAAGTGGGTTAATCTGAATTCCCAACAGTTGATCAGTTTTCCATGCCTTCAGCTGTCTCTCCCATCTTAAGTGTTTTAGTTTAAAAAGTCCTGTTACTATCTGTGAACATAGTTAGCTGTTGATTATCTATGTCACCAGTCTGGCAGGAATTTCAGAGATGCTTCTGGAAGGATGGAAATTTACTCTAGATATACTAATAGGAACATTGTGCATTATGACATTTAGAACAGTATGCTGTGTGGGAATGAACCTTTCAGGGCATGGCTTGGGATAGGCCAGAATCCTACACATCTAACCAAGATTTTGAGTAGCATCTAGAAATAGGCAGTGAAGCCATGGTAGAGGAGAAAGTACAGATGTTCGGGTCTGGGGGAGTTTGCCAAGAAGGAGAAGTGCTGCATTCTTATCAAAGTAAGTGTAATAATTGTCCGTGTGAATAGAAGACTTCCTAGCTGATCTTCACTCATGAAAGACGAGGATCCAGATTGCGAGCAGTTTACGGAGTAATTATAGAACAACACTGACTGAAATAAGGTAAACCACAGCCGGTGGACATGTGTTAAAGTACTGAAGTCACTTTCATAGTTAGTCTGAAGAAAATATTTATAGAAAAAGAATTTCCTTAGTCTTTGAAAATTCCTTACTTTTAGGCTGTGAGCAATCTTGGGAGTTGATGGAGGAAAAGAGTAGCTGATTGAGTCACAACAGAACAATGTGGTTTTTTTCCCCTGCTGTTATTTCACTTAACTCCACGTTGATAATGCATCACATCTCTTCATGTGGCAGATCGACACGTCAGTTTCTTGCTTTTTAAGGTGAAGTAGTAAAACCAGCACTTGCCTGTCATCCTGTCATGCAAAAAAAGAGGTTTTGCAAATGGTAATATGTTATCAAACAGTGGAAGCACACATTTGCAGATAACATGTTGAAGTCGATGTTAACACATGCACAGCTTTCTGAGCTGTGAATGTTGGGTACTAGTACATTAGGACTTGTGGGTCTGTGAAACATTCTTTGCTGGGTGATTTTATAATCAGTGGAGATGTGCTTTAAAGTGTTTTCCTTGGGTGACACAGAAACCAAGTTTAAGTATTGCAATTTAAGACCTTTCTAGCTGAAATGGAATGTGCATGCAGCTGTTGCGTTCAATTTCCACATGCATACCTGTTTAATACTTGGCCAATATTTGTAGCAACTAGTTGTATTTTGTGTGCTGTAATTCAAGGCCTGTTGCTCTCTGGTCTGTGTGTCATACTTAGACTTCACAGGAGCGTATCTAAGAGCCGATGTGTGACTTTGGCTTCTGTTGAAGTTAGATCATTATAGAGTTCATAAAGTTCTGCTGAAGGCTAGGATGTCTCTTTGTGTAAATGTCCTAGAAATACTTGATTTTTTTCTTCGGGGTTGACTGATTCATTAGTTTAACTTTTCCAGTGTTGGTCATTGCATACACTATTGGACAACAGGGTAGGTGATGGAAGGGCAGGTGTACTTTGGTATTCCCCTTCCCCTCCATTTCTGTCTCAGGAAAGGGGTCACCAACCCTTGCAAGCTGTAGTCCTACAAGAGTGCTTTGGGATTTTTTTTTTTTTTAAATACTAAACATGTGAGAAAATAAGGCAAGTCAATCTCTTTGTAAACTGTGCATTCTTTCATCTAAAGTTGCAAAGTTACTTGAAGGAAGCAGACAGTTAGTTGTGCCCCAGTGAGTATTTGAAATGTGATTTAAAGTGCTACCAAACAGTACTCACAAAGAAACTGTGTGGTACAATGCAAGGAAACTACTTACTCTTCAAACTTGTAAATACTTTGAGAAGTCTATGAGTAAGGCTAGCTTGTTGTTTATTGCTAAATATCTGCATACATTCTTACAGGTTTGAGATTTTAATCTGTTTATCCAAAAGGGTGATATTTAGAAAATCAGAAATACATGTCTTAAGTTTTCAGGAGACTAAACTTGTGAAGCTTTATATCAAGGAGTCAGTTGTGGATTAATGCAAATAAAGAAGTAGACAGGAGTTCAACAGCTGACATTTTTTTTTCTGTGGGTATTTGAATTGACTGCATAGTATGTAACGTGGAGTAATTGAGAGTTACACTGATAACACTTTAACATCTGTTACTCCATGTGTATAAATAGACGTGTTATTCACGAGGAATGCATCTTTGCGCTTGAATATCTGTCCTGGATAAACAGTCATGTTCTGTGTTTTGCTCTGGCTATAAACCTCCTGGCTGTGTGTTTAAGTCGTCAGGCATATGAAGCAAAGCCTTTCCTAAGGCACATGTCCGAGCTGGAAGAGTTAAGAGGATGTAGAAAGGGAGAAGTTTTGCCTGTGGGACCTATGTATCACTGCCATTGCTGTTTTTCCAGTGAACCTGGTGTTTTGCCACTGCTACATGATATTGAAATTCCTGAAATCATCAGATGTGGTTCTCTCATTATTGACAGCATGGAAACATTGAAACAGTCTGCAGAAGCTATCAGAGAGATTGTAAAGTAATAACTTCTGAATGCACACCTTATCTATAATGCTTGTGAACTTTTGTTTTCTTACTGTGGCAACTGTCATTAGTGTTTGACTGCCTTGTGTATTTTGCTACTCTCTATACTATTATTAATATTTTTATCTGTTTCATTTCAGTCTTGTGCATATGTCCACACTTAGAAACTGGAACTTGATAGTTAAATAAATCTGAGTTTGGCTAAAAGCTCCTTTCCCATTTCAGGGAAAGATAAGGTTAAAAACTGACTGTTCTAAACTTCTGAAACAAGTGTACTGTTTTCTAGGTCATCTAATACTTTATTTAAAAATAACTCCGCCATCTGATGTAGGTGTAATGTCTGCTTTGTGTGTGTGTGAAAATTGGTTGAAGTGGAAAGTTGCTGAAGGTTGTAAACTGCAACTAAATTTGCATTTCTCTGATACGTTTTGCAACATTGTCACTTAATGAAAACAAAAAGCAAACTTTTTATTCTTGTATGTATATTGGATGGAATTAGAAGCTGAACAAGCAGCCTTAAAAAATAAAAGAATAAATAACGCTTTGCAAGTATTTATTTTTAGTAATTGCCAAGCTGTCTTGTATCTTTACATATGCGTAGGATTTGCCTTCAGTCTAAATCTATTTAATAATAAACATTGAAAAAAATTATATCATTTATTTTTAACGTTACATATCATTATTTTAGGATAAAGGATCTTGCAGACGCTCTAGAAGAAGGAGGCTGTGATCTTGAAACTGTGAGAAACATCATTCAAGGAAGGCAATTGCCTGCTGATCTGAGGGCCAAAGTCTGGAAGGTAAATATGAGCTTAAATCAAGAAGCAGGAAATACTTGAAGTTGTGTTTCATTTGAGGTAAATGAGTTAATTATCAGGCATCTCTGCAGAGATGTACTGCTGGAATTTTTAATATGCATGTATGTTGATTCAGTTTTAGAGTAGTTCTCTTTCTTTAGTTAAATTACTGAGTTCAGTAATTGGGTAACTACAAGAAGACACTAAAATGTTTAGAGGGCTTTCTGTTTTTGTTTTCAGATTGCACTTAATGTTGTAGGAAAGGGAGACAGCCTCGCATCCTGGGATGGCTCCTTAGACCTACCTGAACAGAGTATAATTCATAAGGATTGCCAAGAGCTAATCGGTAAGTTCAGATACATTTAGATCACCTGTGTGAAAGCTTCTGCATTCTCAGTTGTCTTGGGACTTTGTTGCTTGAATGAAATAACCTGAATGATGTTGACATTTTGGAGGAAGATGAGACAGCAGAAAAAAATGAGTAACAAGTTGTAAGAAAACAGTAGTATCTTACCTGTACTCTGACCCTGGGATGGGTGACATCATGGAAGTTTAAACTTATTAGCTTGTAAATGATAGTTTGTGTGGTCAGAAAGCTTCATGAGTTGAAAAAAATCATCATTGTTTTCCTGGCTCCATCTTTTAAAGCACACATTCTTTGTATAGTGTCCTTCAAGTTTTTAATTGTGTAATGACTGGTTCCTAATTTGAAAAACTGGTGTAGCACCAAAATGCCTATAACATTTAAGGGAAGCAATACATTAAACATTTTGGAGTTCAAAGGCTGTTTTACAGAAAAGTATTTTTTAATAGCATTTCCAGAGAAAATGAAAGGTTGTGTTTGTGAAAGCAAGATGCTGCCAGGACATAGGCAATAATACTCCAGTATGTCTGTAAGGAGCTGCCACAGGATATGTTTGGCAGCTCATCACAAAAATGGCCAGATCCCTGACACCATTAATATGAGTTGATGGAGTCAGTGCCAACTCATCATAAATTAGGATACTTCTTAATGACATCCATAAGAGAATCTTCTATTGTATTACCTGTCACACTTCTATTTGTTCTTGCATGGTTGAAATTTAAGGCAGAGAATGGAGATGCTGCATATGTACCTACTATTTCTTAAATGCAGTTATAGCTCTAGAATCTGTCAGGGCTTGTTTTCCTTCTATCTCTGTCCTGTAAAGGAAAGGAATGGGAGTGGAATTTCCACTGTGTTATTTAATCACAGGATCTTTTCAGGAAGATGGCAAAACTTCCCAATTAGTACTCATTATTTTCCAGAGGGGTAGAGGAACGGAATTGCCAAATATTGACTGGCTTTGATGAGAAAGTATTCAAGACTTCTGTAATAAAAAAATTCATTAGCAGTAATGAGACTCATGGGCTTCATGTAACTGAGGGAGAAGGATATTTGCTGGAAATTTAATGCTACTGCATTAATGTAGTGTGTAGGTATCTCTTTCCCTCATCCTGAACATAAAAAAAAAATGTGATTTATAAGTCTATAAGCCTAGCTGATCTCAGACTTCTGATTAGGATAAATTTGCATGTCAGTGGGCTTTTGAGGAATTGGAGGTATGCATTGTGGGTTGATCTGTGTTGGAATTCAAATGAATTTGTGATAGAGTTGAGCATAAGTTGTGTGCTGAGCACATGAAACAGGAATAGAAGAGGAGCGTTCTATGCATTAAGACAATCTACATCTTTGTTTCATATAGATTCTGGAAAACCCAAACTTCTTTCATCCTGTTGTTGTGGTATTTAAATGATATTTAAATGTCTTATCCTACTGGGGTTACAAAATCACTTACATTTTGATACCTATTTGAATACCTTTCTGTAAGCATTTAATCCGAGCTGCCAGTCTTTGGTTTGTCTGTTTTTGTTGCTTTTTTCCCCTGAGCTGTCCTTCTTGGTGCAATTGTGTTATGAAATAATCCCATTCAATGTCTTTGAGAAGCCATTAATACAGTTTATATTGCTGTGCTTCTTTCAGACCAGCTGTCGGTGCCGGAAGAGGAGAAGTCAGTATTAATTTTGGATATTGAGTCTGTTATTACATTTTACTGTAAATCCCGCAATGTTAAATACAGTTCTTGCCTCGGCTGGATACACCTCCTCAAACCTCTGGTGCACCTTCATTTGCCCCGCAGTGATTTGTACAACTGTTTTTATGCTATCATGAATAAATTCATCCCAAGGTAAGACTCTTTCTTTTGCTGCTGTGCTATTTTTATTGGCACCAAAAGTAGTTTCTGAAAGGATGGTTTTGGTTAAAGTAGCACTGTTTGTGGCAAAATGGTCAGATATCATCATGTTTTAATAAACTGAACTATCTTTCAGTACCTGTTGGCTGGAAATCCTAGAGATGGTTGAGTTGGTTTAGGATGTAAAGAGTTAGTGTGTGATTCATGTAGGTTCAGTGTGCTTTTTAATGAATAACTGCCATATAATGCAATATCAAAAGCACTTATTTATCAACTAACTCACATATGTTATGGGAAAGTGTTTTTCCTGTTTTTGGTATCTAAAATACTTCTATCTCTTCATAACCAGTAATTCATAAGCAGTAATTAAGTCTCAAAATCTCTTCAGAAGTAGTTGATATTTGCCCTATAATCTTCTGAGTTGGGACTGAAATGCCTTTTTTTAAGTTGCTAGATATTTTTATTCTTATTAAAGAATATTAAATGGGAGTTTTTCATGCTTTTACTTAGGTGTTCTCATTAAAATGAGTTTTCATTTCTGTTGGAGTAGCACCATGAAACTCCAGCAAGGCTGCCGAGTCTTCTGATTAAGGCCTTTTGAAATAATGTACGGATAGTCTGTAATTAAAGACCTTAGTCTGGTTCCCTGGAGAGGAGATTCCAGCCCAGCTGATGGATGTGTGCCATACTATGAGGAGTGCATGTCTGGTGGTGTGGCAGGAAGCATTTACCAGTCCTGTCACTTGACTCAGGCTGTGTGCAGTTCACGTCTGAGCTGCTCTTGGGCTCTGGGCCCTGTGCCGTGACCGGGGATTATGGTCACATAACTCAGGGGCTTTCAGAGTATCTGGTGCCTGAGTTTCTCTGTAGGAATCTAAGTGGTGTTCCAGTGAGGTGTACACTGTTTCCTCTTCTTTTTTTCTCTTCAGTGGGAGAATGAAAGACATAGAAAGGCAATTTATAGGAGACCTGCTTGGGTCAATTTGGTCTCATTTTGACATTTGAATGCTGGACCGTCATTATTAATTGATAAAAGTTATGTTTTTAACTTCTTGTTATTTTTTATTTTTAAATCATACACTTTTTACTCACATTTTTGTGACTATAATGAAATATTGACATTTAATCTAACAAAATATTGAATTACTTATATTTTTTAATTAGAATTATTCTAAAATCCTATTATTCTGTTAACAACATTGGTACCATGCTTGCCTTGTTTTGATATTTAAATGTGGTTTAAATATCTCTGGATTGTATGATCTGTCAAGTATTGGCAGTATTTAATTCTTTCTGCTGCCTTGTTAATATATGGGGTTTTCAGTGTTTGTGTGGGTTTTGTTGGTTTGGTTTTAACTCTTGAGGCAACTTGACTTCATGCTCAGTACCTGTGAATTAAAAGAACAATGAACAGGAAATTACATAATTAGAGACAATAAAGAACTGCTACTGTAAGTCTGAAAACTGCAGTATTACAGAGTTTATGACTATTTTCACTGCTACCTTTTAGGGATTGTTTTATGAAGGGAAGACCATTTCATCTATTTAGACTGCTCCTTCAGTACCATGAGCCTGAACTCTGCTCCTTTCTTGATACCAAGAAGATGACTCCAGATTCATATGCACTCAACTGGGTAATAAAGTGAAAGTAGGGAAATATACTGAAAAATAAATTTCTGTTAAAACTAAAGTACATGTTGCCAGTTCATGCAAGAGTAGTACAAGCAATATATTGAAATAAATTGCATGTTTTAGTTTAATGCGGGCTTTTTGTCTTCACTTGTTTAACATAAGGTATGAGGTCTTGTTAACATCACATTTTTATTGTTCTGGATGTTAACTGAGCCACAGATGTTAGAAACTTCTTGGAGTAAGTGAGAATGAGAGCAGCTGACATACTCAAAAAGTAAGAAACCCTGATATTACTTTTGATAGTGGGCAGCTGATACTATGATATTACAGTAAAATTCCTTGTTTCATCTGTGGAAAAATTTTATTCTATATAAAGATATTGCTACTATGTAGAAATATATGAGCAACATACAGAGAGAGACCTGTCACTTGTCGTTATCTTGTTCACAGAAGTTTTGTCTGCATTTGAGTCAGAATTGAATAGATCTTCTTATCTTCTGCTAAAAAACTCTACTAGGAAGTGTTGAAATATTCCATGATAGCGTTTAAAAACAGAGACTGAGCTTTTGAAAGCTGTGGCTCTGTTAATACAGAATTTGCATGCATCAGCAAGTTCAGTAAGACCCCGGTGTAGTCAGGTGGTGTGCATTTGAGTTAGGTCTGATTGTAAATATTAGCTGGCATGTACGAAAAGACGTTCCTACCTTTTATCCTCTTTGAACTTTTGCATATCAGAGAGGATGTGTCTTCAAGTGGGAACATGGGAACAGGCAAAGAGTTTCTTAAATGGTAATGAAAATTTTCCATTGCTTACAAATGTTTAATTAGACATAAAGCATCTTAATGTAATGTTAAGTAAGTGATGTTGTTAAACTAATGTGCAACCATGTTCAATTAGCTCAATTCTACTGTGAAAAATAAAAATGATTATGTTTGCAGGATCCTTTCAAAGTCCTAATTGCTATGCTATTTGAGTAAATATATTCTCCTATGAATTTCTTGTTGGTGTAATTGGTATTTAGCAGTGTCTATGAGCTAAACAGTATTCCAGCTTGATTGAGTTATCTGTGGTTGAATTTGCAACGCTGACAGTATACAGCCAACTTTGCCTTCCCACGAGGTCTCTTTGTGCACAGATAATCTGTAGTGTTATGCACTGTTTCCAGAAAAATTGGTTTTGAGGGTAGAGCCATCCTTCAATGCACAGTGCAGGTGGATGTTTTACCATGACTTTGCTAGGTTTCTTTTCTTTTAGGTATCTTGCATCTCAGTTAAAAATGTTATCAGGATAAGATTGTTCCTGATTATTGCTTTTTCTCAATTTATTTTCCAAATTTTTTAGCTTGGAAGCCTCTTCTCATATTACTGTTCAGCTGAAGTCACTCAGGCAATATGGGATGGATATCTACAACAAGCAGATCCATTCTTTATTTATTTCCTAATGTTGATCATCCTTGTCAATGCAAAGTAAGTGTGTAGTTGTTTTGGAACATTCTTTGCTGACACTGTTTTAATTCAGTTTTGTTTCATTTCGGTTTTACTGACTTAATCTATGCCTGTGACTTTACTGCTTCCAGAGACGTTATCTTAGCACAAGAATCGGATAAAGAAGAAATGATAAGTAAGTATTGCTCTTACATAACTGCTAGTGAACTATTTACCATATACTGTAATCCCACTTATCAGTATTTTTAATAGCTAAATAACTTAATGATTTAGTTCCATGTGATTTTTCTCATTAATCCCTCACCCATTAATTCCTTTCTTACTGATCTTTGCTTCATCACATTTGCCCTATCCTCAACATTCTTTCCTTGCGTTTCCTTTTTGTAGTCCCACGCCTAGTTTTATACTTCAGTTTGAAGTACTTGAAACAATCACCATTTTTCTAAGCCCAAGGCAGCAGTTTTCAAATCCTTCTTTAAATCTACTGCACTTGTTGTATCTTCTGGATTATTATCTTCATATGCACTTGATTTGAGCCTAATTCAGTGTTCTTGTCTTACCCTCTTCTGTTTTTATAGAAAATACGCTACATTTCTTGTGAGCATATTTCATGTGCCTTTGTATTTTTTCACATACGTAATACAATATAATTATTTCCCTAGTAGTTAAAAATGGGAGCGCTTGGAATTTTGTGTCTTCACTATTTGCTGTAGAACTGCACCCTTTTATCATCCTGGATATTTAACAGTGCTACTAACTAAATACTCATTTTAGAAGACTCTCTTGATCACACCTCTTTTTAAAAAGTAGCTGACTTAGAATTACAACTGAAAACTAAAACTATACAGAAGTAAGAGTGTGTTAAAAAATAGTTTGCATAAGAGGTTTGAACTTGTAGCAAAAAGCATAGGTTTCCTATGGGCAAGGAGTGTTTCCTATATCTTCTCTTTCCAACTAGAGAGCGGATCAATATTAATGTTGAATCAATAAATAAGCTTACATTATGCCTTATTAAAAATAAGTGGGTTTACTATTTGAAAATATGTATGTTGCTTCATTTCTGTGTCTGAATTAGTGTTGCACTTAATGTTGTTTGTCTGTCTCAGAATTCCTAGAAACTTCACCAGCCAATCTTGATTTAGAGGATATAGAAGATCTCTTCTCTTTGGCACAATATTACTGTAGCAAAACTCCAGCTTCTTTCAGGAAGGTAATAACAGTAATTTTGAAATTCTCTTCTTTTTGGTGACTGTTTAAGTGCTCACTGACTTTAAATGTTTCATTGTGATTTTTTTGTAACAAATTTTTTATGTTGTTATTCTGATGGTCTTTACTGTTAGGATCTTTGTAAGATAAGAAGGTTAAGTGAAACATCTTAGAGAGAAGCTTCCCTGCAGTATTTTTACTTCCTGACTGCTGATCTTGTTTTGCAAAGCAGTTTCTTGTAAGAAGTGATGAAGCAAAACTGTCATATTGACACGACTGCAGTGTAGTAGACTGCACAGCAGTCCTGGCTGTACTTGTGATAGCAAAGAGGAAAAGGTTGCTTACTAGAGATAAAGCTGTTATCACCTGCACTGTTTCTGCAGCTCTTCCTTACTCAAGATATCTGACTTAACTGAAAGAAATTAAATAAAAGTATTTGATAGCCATTACCTTTGACTTGTATGTACTTTTTCTGATCCAGGTAGACAGGTATGTGAGACTTTATGAGGGACAAACCAAACCAAACAACCAAAAGACAAATACCAGAGGCACTGCATCATGTTGGCGTGGTCAAAATGATGAACAAGCATGTTTTGAATGGAAGTTCAGACCCTGGCATGATTTTCAAAAACATGTGGATAAGATAAATATGTGTCAAGCTTAGTGTTTGTGACTTAGTGGATATAGTTTTGTTTTAAACTTTCACATCTAAAGACAATGGCTTCAGTTAACTTTTTTTTCTTGCCTTATTAGGACAACCACAGTCTTTTTGGCAGCAGCTTGCTGGGCCTCAAAGATGATGACACAGATTTGAGCCAGGCTCTCTGTCTAGCAGTTTCTGTGTCTGAGATTCTTCAAGCAAATCAGCAACAAGGAGTCAGTATACCAAACTAACCTTCACAACCCGACTTTATAGAAAAGGCATCAGAGTCACTTACTACTGACAAAATGTTTTTAAATGCTAACAGCACAAATGTATATTTGTGCTATTTCAGAAAAAAAATGGGTTTGTCTCGAAGTTGTCTCCCTTGTAAATGATCTGCTGACTTCAGTGCATTTGTGCTGTAGCAACTAGAGCTTACTACAGGTGACTTGAATCTGAGAAGTGTAAGCTTAAAGTAATATCTCACTAATTTGAATTTCCACATGTAGCCTACAGGAGAGGAAAATTTCAAACCCACTTCTCGGTACCTTTGAGTACCTTGTCTTTTGTCAGTGAAAAGTTTAAATGAAAAAATAAAACTGATTAAAACTATTTTGGTAGTAGTTAATTGCAGATATTGTTAGATGAAGGGTAGTTGAGTATTGAAGACCAGTATATGGATCACAGTATAGTTAGATTACAGTGTTTCTTACTGACCACTGACTTTCTGTAGCAGTTTCCAGGGCCCAGTTTTGTCAGGCATAGCTTGTTGGGGTTTTTTTCTATCCAAGTATAGTTAAGCATCTGTTTCTATCCTGGTTAAGTCAGTGGGATATAAAACTATCCTTACATGCTGTGCTGATTAATAGTGGACTGTTGCATTGTCTTGTTGATGTGTACCTTCATACCCACTGTTTCTTCTCAGTAGAGGTGAGATAATTCCACTGTGTGTATTGCACTTGGGTGATCCTTTACCATGCACAAGCTGATGCATTAATGAAAGCCACTACTAGAATACTGCTGGTGGTCTGGTAGAACTGTAAAAGTTCAGATTAATCAAATGAAGTAAGATTTTTCAATAGCTGTTAGCCCCTTCAAACAGTTCCTGTAGTATTGGAATTAGTGTCAAAACGTAATTGAATTATGTCAATAATTACACAATTTTAAAATTTTGTAACAGGACAAATCATTCTCTTTCAGGAAGGAGTAAGGTTCTTTGTAGTGGATTGTCGTCCTGCAGAGCAATACAATGCTGGGCATTTATCAACAGCATTTCATTTAGACTCGGATTTGGTTTGTATGCTTTTTGTTTCTTCACTGATATTTGAGTCCTGGGATAGAAGGAGAGAGAAATGTCTGTCTTGAAAATAAATTATCCTTAGTATAGGCTTTAGTCTGTAGACTTAGTGTCTAGCTATGTGATGAGGTTTCAGAAGTTAGCTTCTCTAAAGGAAATGGTAGAACCATTATTTTACCAAGAAGCATTTTTTTCTTTGTTTTTTCTTTCTTTTCTTTTTTTTTTCTTTTTTTTTCTTTGTTTCTTTTTTCGTCTGTCAGTCTTCCACAGTCTGTTTATAAGGAGCATATGTCTTTAAAAGGATTTGGTTGCTTCTTAAAAATTTTTGCAGTACAATATGAGAGAGAAAGTGCAATTATTTTGGAACTGAGGTGTACTATTGATTAATAACTGCAGTAAAGATTTTGCTAGATTTTCCATTTGATTATGAATTCAGAACTGAACATTCAGTCATATTTTTCTCCGTTCCTTTTTCCCCAAAATCAATTCCACTTCAGCTGACTAAAATGGTGTATTCTTCACTTTTAGATTAACCCTCATTTATTTTACTTTGCAGTCTATGAAATATGTATGGAATGTATATAATCCATGAAAGACTTTTATACCTCACTTAGTTAAGAAGTTCAGTCCTGCATCTAATATCTTTACCTCTCTAATTAAAAGGATGCATTATTCAGTATTATTTGCACAAATACAATTATACAGGAAGGAAAAGGAGGCTGAGGGGAGACTTTAGCACACCCTACAACTATCTGAAAGGAGGTTGTAGCAAGGTGGGTGTCAGTCTCTTCTCCTAAGTAACAAGCAATATGACAAGAGGAAGTGGTGTCAGGTTTCCCTAGGGGATATTTAGGTTGGATACTAGGAAAAATTTCTTCCCCAGAAGGGTTGTCAAGCATTGGAACAGGCTGCCCAGGGAAAAGGTTGAGTCACCATCCCTAGAGGTATTTTAAAGACTTGTAAACATGGCACCTGGGGACATGGCTTAATAGGGGAGAGTTGGCAGTGTTAAAGTATGTGCAAAGTACACAAAATTTACTGTAAGGGGAGACAATGGGGAAAGAAAGCTCTATGGAATCCATCTCATTTATAGATAGGTAGAGGAAGTAGTGAGGTTTAGCATCTGTGTTATAAAGCAGCAGCATTTGGCTCCAGGAAGACCACAGTTAATATTCAACTTGACTTACTGCTGTCTAGGTTATGTGTTTATGACTGAACTTCATCATTTAATCCACCGTAAAGGCTAGATGATAAGAATCCCTCCTTCCCTTTCCCCAATCCAGTTACAGGTCAAAATTTCCTTATGAATTCCCCACAAACACAGGTTAAAATTTTAGCTGTATTGAGAAAGTCTTTGTTTCTCCAATCATCGTAGTAGGCCTTCAGGAGACCACAGCCTTAATTTTTTGAGAGTACAAAGAATCACAGATATCTCCTTGTACTCCCAATGGTAATTTTTTTCCCAAATCGTGATAAATAAATGAGAAAAAGCTTAATGGGGAGACAAGAAGAGGACCTTTCAGGCACCTAGAAATTCTCTACACATTTTAAAGGGTTTCAAATGTGTCAAGTTTGAACATGTTGTGCTCAAGCATATGTAAATATAGAAACCAGTCCCACTGCTGTATTACCAAATTAATGCAACATGAAAGTTGCAAAGACTCGTTCCTCTCTTATTTGATGCCTGCAAAAACAGACAAATGTTAGTTGTGTTTCTTTCCTGGGGAGAAAAACGTGGACTGAGGAAGAAAAGGACCATTCTTAGTGTTCTTTACGTAACATGAGGTCCCAGTCAGGTGGCCTCATGTGTTTGTGTGACTTATACAGTCCTTACGTTTCCTTGTTTGTGCTCAACAAATAATAACCATTCTCAAAGTTTGTTTCTTTTCACAACTCACGTTACAGTGTGTTGGTGTCAAACAGCACTTTTTGTTTGTTCGCTCCACAGATGCTTCAAAACCCATCAGAATTTGCACAGTCTGTAAAATCCCTGTTAGAAGCACAAAAACAATCTATTGAGTCTGGCTCCATAGCTGGTGGGGAACATCTGTGCTTCATGGGAAGTGGCAGGGAAGAAGAAGATATGTACATGAACATGGTGTTAGCACACTTCCTACAGGTACAACTAAACTGCTGTTGGTTTTAGTAGATAAAGTGTGTCTGCATGTATTATTGATACTAAATGACAAAACATTTTCCCCTTAAAATCTTAACTATTTTCTACATTACTCAACTTTACAGTTTTTATTAAACAAACACATTTCATTACCATACTTGTAAACTTGTTCCACAGATTTTTGTTTTAACCAAAATTGTCTTTTCTGTTGCAGAAAAATAAGGAGTATGTAAGCATTGCCAAAGGAGGATTCATGGGTAAGCTTATTAATAATGACCTTTGGCTTGAGCAGACTTGGTATCTTGTCATTGTTGATATTTTTGTGAGGCTTTTGCTAAAAATCATCTAAATTAGTAGCAAATAGGTCTCATTTGTCAGGTTTTTGTTTTCTGTATGTGAACACTGTGCACTTGCACATTTGTGGTTACACAAATTTCTGAATGGAGAAAAATTAATGCAGGAAATGGGGTAATTCTCTCTTTCTTCTAACTTATCATTCTTGATGTTTGAGCCCCTGTAAATTGCAGACTTATATGAAGAGTTCATACTTCTGCAGTTTATGTTGCTGGAAATAATCAGGCTCTGCAGAAGTGGAGAGATCTTTACTAAAATATGTGTATAGAGGCATTACTAGTCAATATATGCAGTGCCATAAGAGCTGTCTTCAAGATCAAAGCCCTGATTTATTTTTAGTTGCTGCTGTTTACTTTACTAAAATAAAGATTATCCTTATGCCTTTGTACTACTGAAGAAAAAGGAATTATTACAGTGGTATCTGAATTAATTTAATAAAAATTAAAACGTGGAGAAAAATTGTTTCCCATTAGTCTCAGATATGTACAATATTTTCATCAACAGATGAAGTCCAGTGTAATTCTGAATGTTTTTAATGGCCTTTTAACAGCCCTCCAGCAGCACTTAGCAGATATCAATGTGGAAGGACCAGAAAGTGGATATGGCCACTGGATTGCTAGTACCTCAGGCTCAAGAAATGGCATAAACTCCGTTGATGTAAGTGAATTTTAAGCCCAAGTGGTATAGTGGGATGGGAGGCCCAGGTGTATGGAATTTTTTCTTCATATTCCCCATTCTGTTCTGTAAGATGCCTTACTGCAAGTCATGACTGTTTTCAGTTGTGTGTTAATTTAAAACTGTGTTCACTCTCTAGTCAGAGATGACCTAAACATTTTTATTCTCTTGAGGGGAAGAGCTTCTAGAGAAGAACTTGCTTGCAGTCATTCTCTGGCAGAATACATGTAATAGATAACTTTTCCTGACTGTTATTCTCTCTGGGAATAAATTACTATGAAGTGGCACACAATTTCATGGCAGAGCTCAAAATTGTATCTTTTCTACAGCTGATATGTTATGCATAGAATTTGGCTTTTAATTTGGATTAAATATGTCATTAATAGGATTCCTTCCTCTAGATTTACATAGCTGAGTGCTCAATAATATGGTTTGTCAAGCTTTCTTTATTGGATCATCTTTACCTCAGACACTTGTCATTACTGTTACTTGATAGAACTCTAAAGAAACAATTCTGTAATTAATGTTCTACTGAGTAGCAAAAAGTAGATTACTGTCTTGTAGTCTGTTTCCTTTCTTAATCAACTAAGATGAAATAACATTATTTTTATATGATTAATCCTGAGAGGAGTTACTTTCACAGGGTGATGCTCCTAATGGTTCAGGTGATGGAAAAGGAGTTAAGTCCCTGGTGAATAAAATGACGGTTGCTTTGAAGACTAAATCTGTGAACGTGAAAGAAAAAGTTATCAGTTTTATTGAAAATACATCTACTCCCGTGGACAGGTGCGTCCTTTATATCTCACTGTGAATTAGCCATGAGGAGGAATGACTTCCCATTTCATGTGGCTATTTTATAAGTGTGAACACTGGGCTAATTAGGGGAAAAAGTTGTCTTCCAGTTCCAATTTTTAGATTTTCTACCTCTACCCTCCTCACAATTCTATCTGGTAACCCTACTGTCCTGCCTTAGTATGTGAGTGTGAGCAGCCTTTTCTCTTGGATGCTTATCTAGAATTTATTGTTGCATGGTTAGTTTGACTTCTTTTAGTGTGTCAGTTTTGTATTCAGTCTAAAAGTGAAGGATGATTTCACTTTTATTTCAGTTCCTCTCCATCCTGCTAATCCTTAATTCCTTCAATCCACTCTAATGGAGTGAATTAATGACAGCAGAATTCTGGATGGGGGTTTTTTGTTTGCTTTGTTTCGTTCTGTTTTGATTTTCTAACTGCTGCATGTTGTCAATTTGAGGTTAACTTTTTTGAGGATCTTGATTTTTCAAGTCCAGCTGTAAAGCTGCTTTTCAAACCCAGAATTCACCTTTGTTTGGTTTTTGTATCTTCAAGTGCAGCTAGGAACAGGAACATACAAATATGTTAAAAGACACTTTGGAATTCATCATTCCGAATACTTATCTTAACTAGATACAAGAGTAACAGCTTTCATCTGTCAAAGCTTTAAATGAATAAACTTTTGTAGTTCTTTAAAGTCCAGTATTTGAAGTTGTATGTTGCCAGGACATTGGCATTCAACAATCTCAGAGGCTTAGTGTTTCTTTGATAGCAGGATTTAAAATACGTCTCAAATGAACAGTAGTTTTCAGTCATCTTTTAGTTACTCAAAAGTTACAGATCATTCCTTCTTTTCATGTTGGAAATGGTTTTTTACATTAGTATTAGTATGCTTTGTTGTGTGAAGAATTAAACTGAATAAATGTGAAGATTTTAACTGAAAGAGGGTAGATTTAGATTAGAAATGAGTAAGAAATTCTTTACTCTGAGGGTGGTGAGACACTGGGACAGGTTGCCCAGAGAAGCTGTGGATGCCCCATCCCTGGCAGTGTTCAAGGCCAGGCTGGAATGGGACTTTGAGCAACCTGCTGTAGGGGAAGGTGTCTGCTCATTGCAGTGGGGTTGAAAGAAGATGGTCTTTAGGATCCCTTCCAACCCAAGTCATTCTGTGAAATCAAGTCAGGCTTATATGTCAGGAAAATGCATCTTGTAGTGGATGTTTTTACAAATATTTCTCTACCTTGTATCTAGCCGTCATGAAGCATTGCTTTTATTTACAAGCATCGTCCTTGAAGAAGATACATTGCCAGTATAGAGAATTTCAATTACTTATCTAGATTTTTCCTTTGCTTTTTTTTTTTTTAATTCTTTTATTCTGTCCTCTGCCCCAACGTACTGTAGAATACCTTTCAATATTTCCTGGCCAGACAGAGCAAGCCTGGAGCGGTAAGCTTGATAATTAAGCAGTCTGACTAAAATCACCTTTCTTGTATTAAGCATGGCATCACAATATTTGTAAGCATTGGTTACACTGACAAGATTGCTTGCGTATTTTTACATGATTTTTTTTTTAATATATTAAAGCTATTGCTTTTTACAAGTTCTGGTCAAGAGACTAAAGGAAGAAAAAAGAATGTATTGGCAGTGCTTTCTTCTCTTAATTTCTGCTTTGTTATTTCTGTTCTCTTCCTTATTATTGCTTTGTATAGAATTTTTTTTACTTGTCATTCCTATCGACATCTTATTAGTTACTTGTGCTAGTAGAAGATCACAGGAACAATTACTGAACAAATTAAGACTTAAAGTTTGAACAAGACAGACAAGTCTGAAACATAAACTGCTCATAAAGCATCATTAGAGCTTAGATATGACAGGGGACCCATATGGAAATTCTGTCTGGAAATCTAAAATTTTTGTGCTTCTTATCACATGGTGGTATAACATGCTGATAGAAACAGACATGCTCATTACTGGGAAAAGAAAAATGCTGAGTTAATAAGTAAATATGCTTTGCAACTCTCCCTCATCTTGTTCACATAACTACTGCATTTCATGTAAACATGGAGGCCCCTCACATTTGTCTCAGATATATTGCCTTATAATTATTTCAGCAATAAAAGTTATGAATTGAGATTATGTAAAATTACTTGTGATAAAGGAGAAGAGTGGCTCATGCATAATCACTTTGGAACTTTGAGCATACTTTAGGAACTGTAACATTTGACCCTCATATGCTGAAATGCATGAAAATTCATGTGGGATGAATTATTGAGGATTTAAAATGCTGTTTGGGTTTTCAAGGGTTTTGGACCAATCTTTCTTTCAAGTAGTTTGCACATAATTTGAGATGGGACTTGTCCATAAGCATTGCAGAATGGTGTTGTGTGAGCAACACCAATAGTGATAGTAACCAGTATTCTATTAAAAAAAAAAAAAAAAAGGCACATAGTATGTTTTCTTAATTTAGAAATCCTAAAGATCATGGGGATCTTACACCACATTTACTTGATCAGTTTCTAGAATATGGTAAGAAAGTGTTAAAATTCCAACTTCAGTGACTCTTCCATAACTCAAAGACACATGAATCCGTATTTGTAACCAAGAAGTTTTGATAAATTGAGGTTTTACTTTGGTTATTTTGCTTACTCCTTTCACTTCTATTGCAGATCTTCTTTCATTGGGAAGATAATAAATTAGTTCACTCTGTATGTCCGTAGAGTATTTCTTAAAAATGCAGCTCTTAAAACCCTAGAACGGCATTTTTTCTCCATCCGTTCAATTACATCCACTTTGTGTTTATCTCTAATACCTTTCATTTGGCAGGTTTGTCACTAAAGGACTGTTGCATTGAATTTGTAACAATGTAACAATGGCCTTCCATGCAAACACCTTAAAAGAAATCCATTTCTAGTTTAAGATGTTACCAGGTTTCTATAAAGTCGCTTCTTACTGTCTCTTGTCTTGACTAACTTCAATTTATAAACACCAGTGAGATCTTCTCTTAGATCCTCTCTGTGTTGTTCAATTTGACACTATTTAAATGTGCTGCTTCTTACTTAATTGGTTATGTATTACTAAAGCATATTTACAAAACCCTCCGTATAGAAGCACTGCCCTCTTGAATTGTCAGTGTCATTGATGCTTATTGTCTTAAACACTAATGAGCATGGTTTTGTATGTCTGGTTTTTGTTCCATTATAGACTGCATTTTGCTTTTTTTTTTCTTTTCAATTCAGCTTTTCATTTTGTCTGTGGCAGTAAATATAACCCATGGAAAATGTAGTTCTCTAACTTTCAATTCTACTTTCAAGTATACCTAAGTACTAGGATTAGTTTACCTATTACTAAAGAGGTTCCCTGTCTAGCACTAAAGAGGTTCACTGTCTAGCTTGTTTCTACAGTAGCACGTAAACTGGAGTTTGTGAATATACTTAAACAGGAACCAAGTCTTAGAGTTGATACGAAACATAAATACACATTATGGGGAAGGAGGTTATTGAAAGGAGGGAAGGGAGAGGCATGTTTTGGTTTGGTTTGGGTTTTTTTTTAAACTACTGTTGCCAGTTCTAAAGACTAAAATCATGAACTGTTTATTTTTTTTCAGCAATTGCCTGTTTTGTGGCTTTCTGAACCTTTAGGTTTTTCTCATAGTTTTCAGGTATTGTCAGCAGTTGAGGGCAAGAACATTTAACAATTCAGCTGTGACCATGTAATCACAACATTCTGAGCTGGAGTTTTAAGTATTTTAGGATTTGCAACTGTTACTGTCAAACATTAAGACTCAGTTGTGTGTGTTTGTGTCATTTAATATGATCCGTAGAAGGAATAGAGATGTGATTTTTGAGGTCAGTATCTCAGTGATGCTGGAACTGTAGCAGTAGGAATTGTTTGACCAAATATTTCAGGATTTGACTCATGCTGCACAAAGTAATGGACAGGAAGTCAGAGTTCACGCCACAGTCGATGTTTTATAATAACCCCACTTTGAAATTCTTAAGGTATTTTGTAATCTTTCAAGGAATTAACAAGAAAAATTACCTTCTGGACTTGGTAGTTAATCGTCTTTATTTTTCCTTTCATCCAAAGTTGGCATCCTTGTGAAGCTACCCTGACTGCCCAGACGTATTTCAGTCTCAAGCTAGAAACTTAGCATGTTGTCAGTTTTCAGGTCTCTAACGTATGTTGTCATTTAAGAAGGTGCCTAGAACTTTGGGGTTTTTTAAACAACGTAGTAATTGTTTTCACTTTCTTTGTTACATCAGTCAGCCTCACCAAGTCACTGAAGTACGCGCTTTCACTAACCAAACTGCTCGATGGGTCACACATCTTCCTTGCAGGCAGCTTCATGAAATTCCCTCCTCCTTCTCTGTTGCACAGCTGTGTTTGCATTTGGCTGATATGTTACTGTAGAAGTCATACCATCAGTTTGAAAGTTACTTTTCTTCTCCCATCCCATGTCCTCTCCTGCCCTTCTCGTTGCCCACAGACATGTCAGCAGCAGTGACAGAGTAGGAAAACCCTACCGTGGTGTGAAACCGGTATTCAGCATCGGGGACGAAGAAGAATACGATACTGGTACAGTAGAAGATTTTCCTCTTACCTTGATTATCTTATTTAGACAAAATTATTAAGTTGGGCTAAATCATTAGAGTGTATTTTACACCTTTGTCTTGCGATGTGACATTTTCCTGACTATTACCCTTGATCACGTTTGTTATGGTGGTGCCTAGGACCAACCCTCTTCAAATATATTGAAGCAGACTAAATAAAGAGTAATTGGTGGTAGGCACCAAACAGCCAAGAGGAAGAAATGGAAATACATGGGTTTAGTGGATTTTTTTTTGTCTTCACTTGTTATTTCTATAGAAAAGATGTAGTTTTCTACAGTGGTCTTGTACATATAAACCAACAGTTGTACCTCTATTACTCACAACAGTAAGCAAAATGTAAAGGACCTAATTTGGCTGATATAACTCAATTTGAATGTCTAGTATTTGCAGTTATATGATGATCTGAATTTCTGAAATATAGTTGGAGTTAGACTTAATATGGCTAATGTGTACACACCTTTTCAATGTTTTGGACTTTGCTTTTCAGCATTGAATCAATTAATAATTAATTCCTCTCTTGATATGCATGCAGAATACTGTAGAGAAAAAAAAAACATGCAATTTTTATTTAATTTTTTTATCCAGTTGACAAATTACAGGCAAAACTGGGACACCAGAGAGTTCACAAAGGTTTGTTTGGGTTTTTTTTTGAGACCAGTGCTAACATTAGAATGGTGAAGACCTACTGTTGCCCTAGTTTTGTTCGGGTAGTTTTAGCTCGCTCCCAATCATCATTATCTCACAAGTAACCATTCTGTGACCGAAAGGTATGCTCAGCTTCCATGGGAGAAACAAATAACTAAGAAACTTTGACATGAAAAAAATTCAGAAAGATTAATGCAAGAGAGTCATAGGATCTGGAATTGTTTAAATAAGATCGATGGCCAACAGTTCATCATCGTCTGCTATAAAAATTATGAAGGAGCAAAATGAAATTGCCGGGCAGAAGGTTTAACGCTAACAAGATGCTTCTCCAAATGCCATGTAATTAAGTTTGCACAGCTCTTTGAGCATCCATAATAGTGTTTGGGAAAGTCTGTGTGCTTTCAGAAAACCAGCTCCTCAAAGACAGATTGTCCAGAACGTGTTTTTAGTAATGGTTGTTTGTTAAGTTCTATTTACATTTGCTTTTTAAAGCACCATTAGGCTTAATAAGTAAGCAGAATCACCGGAAGGATTGGAATAAGCAAAGCCAGCACATATGAAGAGAAATATATATTATTTTGGTACAGAAGAATGCAAAAAGCAAACCTGTTACTCTACAATTGTTTTTGTGAAGTTTTAGTGTTTTGAGTTTTTGGTAGTAAATAATTGCCATCATCTCTAATAATTGCAGTCTGCCCTAGGTGGCTCTGCTCGAGCAGGGGCTTTCACAACAGGTATAACTGAATATTAGAAGTCTTTTTATGTGAAATAGGTACTTTAAGGAAGGAAAAGTGGTCCACAAAAATAAAACCTGGCCTTGAAAGGGATGTTGGTGTTTATTTCTTCTTGTACAAGAAACTAAAAGACACAAGAGGAGGCTTTCCTGAACTGTAGTTGGCTTGGTTTTGGTACCCCAAAAGATATTGGTGTTGTAGATGCAAAAGGTTTACATGGCTTCAAGAATTTCTAGACAAATTCATGTAAAAGAAATACATGAAACTTTACTGAATGGACAAATTGGACCAGCCAGAGATATCCCCTGAGCAAAAAATAATTGAGAAATATCAGATATGCCTGCCTTTTTTTTTTCTTCCTTCTGAATAATTGTTTATGACTAAGTGGGCCTTGATTTGAACCAGTGTAGCTCCTCTAGGTCTAAGTGAATTCAAAGGTTGTCTGATGGTGGGTGAAAATACTTTCTCTTTTTTTTTTAATGTCTCTACCCCCTCTCTTCAAAACAGATGAAATTGATAGCTCCTCAATGTCGGATGATGATCGAAAAGAGGTCGTCAACATCCAAACATGGATAAATAAACCTGATGTGAAGTATAACTTCCCATGTAATGAAGTAAAAGAAAATGGTCATATGTTTCCCAGGTACTGAAAGTAGTCTTAAGCTTAATGAAAATGTCTGTCTTGATAAACATTTTAAGAAAGTGTTGGCCAATTAAGTTATTCTTTATATTAAACTAGGAAATGAAAGTGCAAAACAACTTAGAACAAAATGTTACAATGGTATCTGTATTCTTATCTTTGCAGTGTTATAGAATGGTCATTGTGTATAAAACTTAGTATGAAGTTTTGCTTTGCAGAGCAAGATAGTAAGAAAAATATTTTCAATATACCTAGGTTTATTTTCAAGACCAAGTAGACCCAAGTACTTGTGGCTCTTTTTTCTTCTTATCTGCTTTTCTCTGTGCCTTGTACTTGGCACCCATCTTGCCCTAAGGTTCAGTGGCCCTGCTAATCCTGGAAGAGCAGAAAATGATGCTCACTGTATTTTGATTTCCTCAAACAGCACACATACTGTTGAATCTGCATAACAGAAAATCACAACAGGATTTCTCTTGCATCATGGTCTGTTCTTGTCTTTTATTAGTATTTTCCCTTTAGATTTATTTTCCATGGTGTATGATTAGCAATCCAATGATACAAGGGTTAAAGAGAGGCTTGGAGGCCCTTTCTGTACTCTGTGTGTGACCTGACATGTTACTGGGGATGGTGATCTTTGTTGATAGAACTCACGGCTGTTGTGTTGAGGTGCTCACGGTAACTGCTCACTCTGGTTTTGTGTGCTGTTAAGGGTGCCATGCTCTTTTTAAGAAATGGCTATGATACAGTACTCAAGGAAAATCTGAAATATTTTGTAGACCTGTCTAAATTCCACATTATGAAAGTATTAAAACTACTTCTTAGATTTGGAAATTGTTTTATCTAACTCTCTCCATGTAGCTTATTTGTAAAATTTAGCTTTCTAAATACCTGATACTTAGTTCGTTAGCAAATTTAATTGTATTTTTCTTTTCCTTCAAGTCATCTCCTAGTAACAGCAACTCATATGTACTGTTTGAGAGAGATTCCATCACGAAAAGGACTGGCTTACATACAGTCTCGACAGGCACTCAACTCTGTAGTCAAAATCACATCCAAGAAGAAACACCCGGAACTGATCACCTTTAAATACGGAAATAGCAATACTTCGGGCATAGAAATTTTGGCAGTTGAAAGGTAAGCCAGCTCAGTAGCAGGGATGTAAGTAGCAACGGTATCTGGAATGCTATCAACCAGAAATCGGGCATGCTGTAATTCCCAGAATTGAGTTCCCAAGTAATAGTTTTTATTTAGGAATACGTAATTCAGATGTGAACTAGAAAAAAAGATCTGCCAGCAGAACAAGGAGCCTTTACTTTCCTCCAGCAGAGAGGAACCACAGTGACAGATGTTGGGGATGGGATGTGTGCAAGTGTTTTCTTTCTATAATATGTCTTAAATAAAAATGAAGTGGACAACCATCTGCAGCTAAAATAGAGATTTGTGAAGAGTGGGATTTAACAGAGTGGTCATTTTTCTGTGGTATCATTTTTTTAGACATCTCACTCTTCCTGTGCATTGCACTAGGAGTCCAGAAGCCTAACCTCAAAACTCTCAACCCCTGAAAGTTAGGTATAACAGGCTTCTTTCCACTGCCGTGGCCTGATTTTTCATGGCACTGTTTTAACAAGGTCACTGACATCAGCTGGACGTTTTCTCATCCTCTTCCTTGGAGAGAACTGTGCAGCGGATGCTCTGTACTCACGAGGTGGGAGATGAGCTTCCTACCCAACTAGGGAAGTTGTCCTATTGGCTGCTTAGTTTGGTAGTAGGCCAGGCAAAGATAAATTAAAGATAAATAAATTTGCAGAAAACTTTGCTGCTTGTTGAATTACTTTGTCACCACCTTGTTGTCTGGAGCAGACTGATCTAGAACTATTTATAGGAATTTAAAACAAAAACAAAGCTAAGCAAGGACTGCTATGCTTCAGTGAGACAGCTGTCTGTAGAGATTTGAACTGCCTGACATATACCACTGTCAATTAATGAAACAATTTTCCTTTCCAAGATGGCCTGTGAAGTACTCCTCAACAGTTCTAGGTTCACAGACAGAAAGTGTTTCATAGTATAATCAGGAATTAAATCATATTGTCTCAGTATTTTTTCATTTTAATATATTCCTCTCTTCTCTTCCTCCTAACCAGAGGAAGAATCAAAAGAATTACGAAATTTATACTTAAAAATTTTATATTGAATTAATAACACCTTTTTCTAATCTTTTTTTTAAAGGTATTTGATTCCAAATGCAGGTGATGCTACCAAAGCCATAAAACAACAGATCATGAAAGTATTGGATGCCTTGGAGAGTTAGTAACTAAAGACTTTGTAGAGACCAGTTTATAAAGAAGAAGCAACCAAGATACTGTATGTGGACACAAGCTGACTGTTTCCCAACTGAATACTAACTTACGAGAATTTTTCTGTTTGCTGGTGGAAGTGCCTGAGTAGCAGGCTTAAGATAGGGTAAATTATTATCAATTTCTGAAACGGTTTTTTAATTTTTTTATTATAACTTCTTGGTTTTGAAGAAATGTTTATTATAAAGGTCAGTTTGTTCCATTTAAATGCAGCCTTAATGGGAGTGATCTGCATCTTTGAAGAAGCAGATGCAGCTGGGTTCACATTAAGTGTGTTAAAGAAATGGACCACTGTGAGACAACAGAGAAGCGTTTGAAAACAGACTGGTTTTTAAATTACTGTCCCTTGAAAGTAAATGACTCCATTGCCTACGGTCTATAAATCTGATTTTGGGTAGTATCAAATATAATTAAAGACTTATGTTTATGAGCAGAACAGATACAAATTTTAGAAATACTGTTTCCTCATTAAAAATGGTCAAGTCCAGTTTGGGCTGCAAATAAATGCAAAAAATACTAGCAATTTGTAAAGTTAACTTTTTTTAAGGTTTTACCAACTACTTGGTTAAATAACTAGAACTGGTGGTAAGGGTTATTTTTAAATACCAAAAATAACTGTAGTTTTTACTACTGGGTTATGATTTTTGTAATTAAGCAAAATATTACATTTCATAGATTGAGGCTGCTTCTCATGCAAAGATGAGTATGTGTGTTGAAATTAATGTTCCATGGCAGAATATGACAGTTGAAAATAAGTTACCTTGCTCCTCAGAAACAAAATGTCTGAGACATTCAGATGTTTAAAAACCTTCAGTTCGGCACAAAAGTGACTACAAGCTGACAGCAAGGAAATAAATGCACACAAATTAAGTGAAGAGATTCAAGTGCTATGCCTGTGATAAGTGTATTCTTAACCTGTTTCCTTCATTGATTCAAGCATTTGTGTATTTTATTTTAAGTAACAACTTCTCAGTTAATGTTTGGGAGGTGGCAACTACATGGTTGTTTATCATCAGCTTTCCACTTGTTCATGAACGGTTCTCATGGTAAAAAGCTCAGTACAGGAATGTTCTTATGAACAAGGCATAGCATCTTTGTAGACTGATAGGAAATCATCAAAAACTGTGAAATAAAGATAGTGGGGATTGGCTTTGCTGCGTGAAGTCTTCTGAGTATTTCTGTCAAAACCTGTGATTTGGTACTTCATCAGGAGATAAAATAAGTTAAACTGACCTTTATAAAAAACACTTATTCTAAGTTATTTTACTAGGAATCAAGCTAGGGCACCTTAATTCTGGAACTAATTCCTTTTTTTTTTCCTTCTTAGTATCTGAGTAAACACCAATAGAACTTGAACTGTTGAAGATATTTGCATGAAATTGCACCTGGGCCAATGCTCATGTATTTATAGTTTTGCCCAGCAGCTGTTGTATTACATTTTCCTCTTCCTAATCCCTTCTGAAAATATCCTCAAGAGTCTCTGACTCTGTGCCTACTTCAGCAATGAGATTTTTTTCATGTAAAGATGTTTGTGCTACTGTTTATAAACTACAGTTGTAAATAAACCAGTACAATTTGAACATAACTTGTTCTGTCAGAATGCATTTAGTTGCATGCTGTGTGAATTCTCTGAATCAATTAGAAGTTTTTCCTAAAGGTGTTTTGTAAATGGAAATGAATTCGGTCTTTGGAGTGAAGAAGCTGACTACGGATCATCGGAACCCACTGCCAGTGACTTCTTAATGTAAGTATTTCGGCATTTAGACTAATTCCATTGAGGACTTTTGGGTGAGCTATAGTAAGCTCTCACAGAAAGGTCAAAATGAATTAACAAGGGGTCAAATTATAGAAAGGGTTTCTGCATAAATTCCAGACTTCTCAACATCATATTTTTTATTACGAAAATGTTGACAGAATGATACAAAATATTTTTCCTAGTCAGGAGAGGAAAAAGTGAAAATTACACTCAGTTGTTAAACAGGTGTATTTGAGTGTTAAATGTGGAAAGTGGCAAATGTGTATGCTTCCCTGTGAGGACAACAAATACAGACCTTTGAGATCTACAGTAAGTAAAGCAACAGTAAGTTCTTATATCTCTTCTGTGTAGAAATGTATATAGCCATTAAGAAGCTAATTATTTGTCATTTTAAAGGCAGCTTGCCAGTCTTACAAAGCTCAGTCCAAACTACGAATAGTTTCAATGATGTTTGTGCACCTCTACCCACAACTTAAAGGTTATTTTTGCCTTATAGTACTTTTTCGTAGTTAGTACATTTGTTATAAAACCTGTATTGCTAAGCAGAAATTCTATTTATAGTACCAGAGTGACATTTTTTGAAAAGAAAAATCAAATAGTAGGTATGCTACTTCGTGCTCCTTTCATCTTCAAGGAATTTTTTTCAATTATTTGTCAAAGGTTTGCAGGCTCTTGTTCTATTCTGCATGCACTGCTGTCTGTATTGTTGAATATAAGATGATAGCTGTTGCTGGAGTTTTAGGTTTTATTTTTTCTTTATTTTGGTGAAGTGAGGTCTGTAGCAGGAAAGAAACAATCAGAGTCAACTTTCCTGCCAAATGAAGGCTATTACCTTTGTGTTTCATAGCAAGGGTCAGTGCTTCTGTGGTCACTGATGGCTCTTCAGTTGTCTCACAAAGTCTTTAGATTCTGCTCTGTACGAGAATTTGTACAGAACTTTACATGCCTTACCCACCAAAAATGCTCTCACTGTTAGAGCTGCAATTTCATTTGCATTGCCTTCTCCAGATGTAAGTAAAGATTGCTTGCTCTTCTTTCAGTTCAGTTCCCTCACACATGGGTCTCAGCTGTGCTTGTAGCTTCTCCTTCCAACTGCATTTCAGTTGTAGTTCCAGAGCTTTTGATACTGTCAAATAACCTTTGCAGCATAGGCATAGTCTACTGAATGTCTGAAAACTTTTCCCTCTGGGAAGGAGAGGGGTGATGTAACTTGTTCTTTTATAACTTGTATACTTAAGGGTTTGAGATATTTTTGTTTGAAACTTGAAAAATGAGTTTTATCTCTCTGATCCATGGGAAAGTGAAATTTTAGTCTGTGCTTTTCACCTTGAAGGGATGATAGAGCTTTTCTTATTTTGTGTGAAGTCAGGAGACAGCTGTTATTTGCCCCTGGAGCGCAGCAAGGTGTGCTGTTTGGGGGGGGGGGAAATAAATAAAATTGAATATGCTCTTTCTGTTACCATGGGCAAGTGAAAAAGAGAAGAGGCCTGCCAAAGAGGTGCTGCACTGTCCATTCTGCCATCCTTTGGCTTGGTCAGTTTGGGCTGAGTGGTTCCCTTTACTGCCCCAAGGTACAGATTGAACAGTTTTCCTGTTGAAGGAAGGTTTGTCACTGCTTGGTTATGCACTTCCCATCCTTTATCTCTCTACATGTTTCCTGAAGGCGAATGTGTATAAGAGACTGATCACCCTGGGTTACCCATTTTATCTTTGCGCCTTCTGCTGTCATGTGCTGTCAGCTTACAGAGATACTCTTGCCTGAGAAATACTGCCTCTATACAACAGGAATCTACGATTCAACAAACATGCTTATAAAAAGTTTGAGGTCGGAGAATACATATGTGAGACAGCAATGTGGTGTGTTGAGTAAAGCGGAGCACTCGGTGTTTAAAGCTAAGGAAGAACAGCCTGGCGTGTTAGCGTGATGGTTTCACAGAAATGTTAGGGTTGGAAGGGGCCTCTGGAGATCATCCAGTTCAACCCCCTGCCAAGGCAGTGTCATCTAAAGCAGGTTATACAGGAACATGCCCAGAGGGGTTTGGACTGTCTCCAGAAAGGGGAGACTCCATGACCTCCCTGCACAGCCTGTTTCACTGCTCTGTCACCCTCAGCATAAAGAGGTTCTTCCTCAAGTTGAGGTAAAACTTCTTGTGTTTTATTTTATGGCCATTGGTCCTCATCCTGTCACTGGGCACCACTGAAAAGAGCCTGGCACCAACTTTGGAGGTATTTATATACATTAATGAGGTCACCAGACTAAACAGGCCCAGCTCCCCTAGTCTCTCCTCATAAGAGGAATGTTCCAGACCCCTCATCATTTTTGTGGCCTCCACTGGACCCTCTCCAGTAGCTCCTTGTCTATTCTTGTACTGAGGAGCCCAGAACTGGACACAGAACTGTCCAGATGTGGAGTGCTGTGAGGATGTCTCTACCTTAGGAGATGCTGTTCTTATAGAGGAAGATAGCTGGGGATGTCCGAGGTGAACGAGTTACCTGTCAGCCGGTGCAGATCCGCTGGGATGAGCCCGTAACCAGCACACGGCTGCCCAGGGCAGGGCTGTAGGCCCAGGAGCTGCTGAGCTCCAGGAGGTTTGGGTGCACGGCTGTGTCCCTGCGGGATGCTGGAGTGGCGCTGGAGCAGCACCGCCAGCTCCGTGCCACCCACGGCGGTTTTGCTACTTCTTTCCTTGCTCAGACCCCGATCCGGGAGCCAGCAGGCTTTTTTATTTTTATTTTAGGGCAGCGTCCGAGCCGTTTCTAACCTAGCCCCGGGCCGGGCCTGCGTGTCCCGGCAGCCCCTCGGTGGCCGCGCATGCCCCATGCGGGCGGCCGGCACAGCCATGGCGTGTGAGTGGTGAGAGCCCCTCGCCCCTCGCCCCTCTCCTCCCCCGCCCGGCACAGCGGACAGGCGTGGCGTGGGGATCGCCCCGGGCCGCGCCCCGCGGCACCCAGCCCCGCTGCGGCCGGCGCGGAGCCTCTGGGGGGCTGCGGAGCAGTGCGGGAGAGAGGGAGCTTGTGCCGTGAGGAGAGCGGGACGCGGCGCTCGCCCTGCAGGGTCAGCCCGTCAGGGGACGCGGACAAACGGGCCCGCCGGCCGCCTGGTGTTCAACAGGAAAAAAAAACCAGCCCGAAACAGAGCGAACAAAAAGCTTGTTTTGTAGTGCTACAAAACGCGAGCCGTTGTTGTTCTGTGACGCGCCCCTACCTAGTTGTGGTCTGCATTGCTGCAGGCTTATCCTGAGAATTGCTTTTAAGGAAGCTTTTGAGGCAGCTTGTCCAGGCTGTCTCTTTGCAACACTGTTGCACATTTCTCTGCATTCCTGTTACTTCTATATCTGAACGGTTTTACGTCTACCTGTGCCCACAGTTTTGTTTGTTCTGTTGTGACTGAGCTTTAATTTTGCCCTCTAACAAACTCCATACCTGAGGCACGGGGAAAGTAAGATTATTGGTATTCCAGCATTTTAAACATTATTGTATTTTTCTCCTAGTAGATGCTCTTTTGTTCTTTGTTTCCTTTTGTGGGTTTTTAGGGGCTTTTTTGATTGGTTGGAGTTTTTTTGGTTTTGTTTTTTTCAAAAGAGTGAATTTTTGCTGAAATGTAAATCTGTAATTGTCCAATTTCTCCAAGCTAAAACACATTCCATAAGTACGGGAAAGTTTTCAACAGATTCCTGTTTTGAATACCTAAGTGGGTCTGGAAACTACGGTTACATCTTGATTACATATGGTTCAGAATATCAGTTGAGCTTTGTTTGCTCAATAGACCCAGTAGTAAAAGTCTCTCCATCAGAAGAGTGACAAAGGGAGCAGTTAATCATTTGCTTAACCTCTAGAAATTAGCTGCTTAGCTACTGAAGTGAGAATTCAAGTAGGAAAAAGGATGTACCTTCACTGTTCACTTGTCCAGTCTCCATTTTGCTTGAATCAGATCTTCCTGTTTCCCTGACCACTGAGGGTGTGTTGCTCACAGCTTGGTCTTTTTCCTCCAGTAATCTGTGACCTCTTTCCTGAGAAGAGAGGTACTTTTTGGCTGGGGTACTTTTTTTATGAAGCCAGAGCAGGTTTTTTGTTTGGTATTTTTTGCTGATTGTTTAAAAGGAAACATTTTTACCTGATCAGGATGTGTTTTCCTACAACCCAGGGCACTAGGAGATACGTGGAAGGAAGCCCAAGGGGTGTGCACGAACCTTGTACACTCTGAAAGCCTGCAAATTTAGAGTCTGCTTAGCGGCAGTAGAAACTGTTGATAACACTTGTAGCTGTCTCTTGGGTAGAAACCAAATTGCAAAGAAATTATCAGGAAAGATGTTACCTTTATAAGCTGTCTCCCAGACTAGGTGTGATTTGAGGGATTAATAAAAGCAAACTATTCCCGTATTGGGTGCTTTGGGGATTATCAGTTCTTTGGTTTGCTAGTGACACTTTAGGACACGCAGTGTTCATCAAGCGACGTGTGCCACAAAAAGATGGGCTGGCACAGTGTGTGCAGCCTGGGAAGGAAGACACAGGGCTGGGTGACCTGTGGTCTCTCCCTTTCTGCACCATGGCACCTTCCATTGGATCGTGGGCTGGGAGCTGTCTGGGCTGAGTGAAGTGGCACAAGAACCGTGTGATCTTTGCCCTGGGCATGGTGATGGCCGTGCATGGTTCCCATTAGCAAGCCTGGCCTTCAGTGTTCTCCCTGTGCCACAGGAGTCACAGACCACAGAATGAGTTGGAAGTGGTTTATATTTATGCTTATTTATTAAAAAAATTTGTTTTGTTAAGTGCTTGTTACTGAATTGAAATTTTGAAGAGTTTCCTGGTGGAATGCTGCTGAATGTTTT